GGTTAAATGCGCCATGACATGTTTTAAAATTTCGCTGTCTGTTAACTGTTTCTGAAAACATGTGGTTATTGGTTAATCTTTAATGTTTGCCATTATCCAACATGGAATACAAATTATTAATTAATTATTATTCTTTGAACATTTAACCACAGAATACGTTTTAAGTAAATACTAAATTATGTATATTATTTAAAATATAAATTTAAGGTTTAAACCAATTATTTCAATGCATATTATATTTTTTGATAGTGTTTTAATGTTGTATTTTGGTTAAAAAATTTGAATTTAATTAAAAATATACTTTTATCCAATCAGCAATATGTATTATTATGTGTACAGCAATTAGATTTCATATTTTGCTGCCAACTTTTTTTATATAACTTATCAGTAAGTTCAATCTAAAATTAATAAATTAGAATTTTTTTTTTTTTTTTTAATGATATATGTATAATATTATTGGCAAATATTAACCATAGGTACTTCAAATATTTTAATTTTATTTACGTCGCAATTCGTATTATTGGTGTAATTAATCAAAAATAACAGTGAACTATATGACTAGACAACTCAATTTGACCAGCAATTAATGAAAATTCATATTGATTTCTACTGGTACCTATCTGATAACTGTGAATTAATAAAATAAAATAAAATTGGAATAAAGGAATAGAATATATACATATTACATATGTATATCTACATTATATTTTAATCTTTCAACAAACTAAACAATCAATTATGTAAGTATTTTTTATTTTTTTTTTTTTAATAAATAATAACCAGGATTAAAATATTTTAATTTTATTTCAATGGCAATTGGTAGAATTTATATAATTAATCAAAGAATACAGTGAACTATATGACTAGACAACTCAATTTGACCAGCAATTAATGCATATTCACATTGCTTGCTACTAATATTTTTTAAACAAACTAAACAATCTATTATGTAAGTATGAATTTTTTTATAAAATAAATAATTAGATTTATTTTAGATTTATATTTTATTAGATAATTTTTGTTTATTTTTTAGGAAATTAATTTTGTTTTCTTTCAAATTTCAATTACATTTAGTAGTACTAACTTTTAATTCAAATATCTATAACAAGATTGGATAAACAAATACAAATTGTTATTATGGTTAGTCTCAGCATAGTACATCTCACCTGATAACTTAATAATTATGTATACATTTTTTTTTTTTTTTGTATAGAATACATCAATTCTATAAATAATTTAATGTTTTTTTTTTTTTTTTTTTTTAGTTGCATTCTGATAAAAAAAAAATAGTATAGCATCAAGACCAACTAACTACTTCTACATTTGTAAAAATTTCTAATGATCACATTAATAGTTAATCTTAATTGTATGTTTAAATAATTAGGTTAAGTTATTGGTACATACCTTAAGTAGGGATATGAAGTTTTTATTAACCTAAATTGGCAAATTAAATTTTTTTTTTAATGTGAGCGTCATTTTCATGTAATATTAAAAGATTTTTATATCATAAAATATTAATTAAAAATTAATATAATTTCAAAAATGAATAATTTTTTAAAACATCCATAGCCCTAAAAATATATTGTACCCTAGAGTAGAAAATGTAAAGTATGTTCAATGTTCATTTAATTTTTATCTAGGGTAGTGGACATATTAAGAGTTAATATTTTTTTATTAGGTATGACCTTACCCAAATCCTGCAAAAATTTGCACTACGGAAATTTGTTTATTTTCTAGTAAAATTATTGATAATTAATGTGTTTATTGCATTTGATAATTTAGTATCAAATTATGTCCATTATTTGGTCTATTCACGCACAAGATAGTTTTAATATAAAATGCAAATCATACATTATACAAAAAATATATCCCAGAATACCTTATAATTATAAATAGAAAGTCGGGTATGCACAATGTACAACAGACTCTAGGCCTATAACCCTGCATCAGATTAAAAATTCAGGACTCACTTCCTCAATGCACAATACATTGTAATACCAGTCTGATGTATGTTATTTTCATATCACTTAATTTGTGTAATCAAAATAACTTACCTATTCTATTATTTTTGTTAGTATACATAGATTGATTTTTAATTATTTATTTTTAATTAAAAAAAAACCTTAAATGGTAGGGGCATTGTAAAAATGTATAATTAAAAAAAAAAGAAGGAATGTGTGAATAGACCTTTAACTACTTTAGTCTTAGCTCTATACCCCGAATCCAAGTATATACTATGTCATATAGATTTGTATCTGCATATTTATGAATTATTTTTCTAAATACATAGGAATTATTGGTTTACTTTGTTTTAAAATGAAAAAAATGTTATCTGTTTATTATAGTTTATTATAATTTACTATAGTAATTAATAATATTAATTTAATAATATAATAAATAATATAATAAAATAATATAATTAATAAATATTTATTTTGTAATTTACTAGTTATAGCTCATCAATCTAATATAGAAATATAAATTATATTAAATAAATACATATGTATTCATAGGCGGCTCTACAGGGTGTGCCGATTGTGCCTTGGCACGCCCTATTTAAATAATGTGTATAAAAAAATTGAATAACTACAGTTAAGAATATATGTTAATAGACATTAATTAAATTTTAGTTTCTTGTAAGTAATACAGCACAAGGGCGTATTTGAAGAGGGCATTTGCCCCTTCCATGTCTTGTATTATTTTGAATATAATACATTGATTTATTTAAAAAATGTAATGTATAAATAATTAATAATATAAATTATCTGATTATCAGATCTGTGATATTGACCTATCTGTTATTAATTGTATGTACCTATACAAACATAGACATATAAAGATATCTTTATATTTTAACAGTGGGACCCTATTGCATTATAATGTGGGACAATTGTCCTAAATATAAAATGGGTGGAAACAGTGGCACCAAAATTTTTTGCTAGGTAGGGCCACCAAAAATGAGATTTCAACAAAAAATAAATAAATAATAAAAAAAAACAATTAAAATGAGCTAATTATTATATTTAAAAACTTCAAATGATTACAGCACTTCACAAAACTACTTTAAAATAATTCTACGATTGCTGTGTGCATCTGCAAACTTATTTATTATTTCATCAATGTCTAATTACTTAACTTTATGTTTTTCAATAGATATGATGCCTAAATCCGTTGATTAAATATACAATATTGTATATTTAATCAATGCTAAATCTAAGTAAACAATCTTTTACTTTATATTATTAAATCATATACAGTGAACAAAATACAAATACCATTATTTAATGTTTTCTGCTTATGAAAACTTACTATATTATTATGTCTTAGGTCAGGTCAGTGGTAAGACCAAGCATTTTCAGGTAGGGTATGTCCCTAACGCCGCTAATAGTTGATAGGTAGGTCATCATCTGCTCGAAGTTTTGTGTTAATATATTATTGACTATTGTCTCAAAAATATTATTTTTTGATTTACAGAAATATTATTTTAGGTATTCAGTAACTACCGTAGAGAAACTATAAATCTCTGTAAATCATTATAACTATGAAACTATACATTTTTTTTATTCAAATGTTTACATATACACACAGATTTATGATATAGATAATGTCATTTGTAGCTCAACTTCTAGAAATTTATGTACACATACAAATTTTTCAATAATGCGCAATTTCAAACAAGCACTATTTTCTTTCAATACTTGTGCAGTATGCATATTCATATCAGACACGCAATAATAAAACGCAGTATAAGATAATGCGTAATATAATTGATCATGTAGAAGCCGCTCTAAAGACCATCATTATTTGGCTTTTAGAGTTATTTTTACCGGTGATATTGGGTTTTTTTATGTTACTAATATACAATACAATACCATAAGTACTAATATTTATAATCAATAAGGGAATAAACTTGTACATAACCCTAAACAGCCACAAAATGGATTAACTAGTATCAATGCAGGTAAAACAGCTACATGGGAATCAACTCAAACGAAACCATTTTTACATTTTGTGAAGTCGAAAATAAACACAACTTACTGATATCTGTTGTTTGTTATAATTATAAACATAGGACTATTAGAAGCAGGGGCATCATTTGGGGGATTCAGACTATACATTAGCAGCTCTATTTTTTTAAATGGTTGGCCCGTATAAAATGTTATAATTGCGCCGTCGTCGATTAAATGTAAGATGCAAACGCGCTGTAATGGTGCGAGTTTTTCATAAGAACCTATTGTCGTATTGAAGAATTTTTTTTAAGTTCCGCTAAATAAACAGGATATATAAATGGCCTGGTGGAGGAAACAATTGGCTTGATTCAAATGTTTGCATCCCTATTGAAAAGTTGAAATGACGCCCCTGATTAGAAGTTGACTGTTTACTAAATGTTATTTATGAATTATTTTTCAACGATCACTGATCCAATGTTGTTCTCTATTATCTTTTTTTAGATTAAAATCATGCCACCTAAAAGCAGTTCTCAAAACGGGAAAAAAAACAAAAAGAACAATTCGGAATTGATGAAATACGAGGTTCTCTTGATACAATTATTCTACCCAAAACAAATCGTAAGTACCTATATAAATATAATAGTAATAATAACGTTTAAGTATATAGTTCTATTGCCTCTTGAAACTCGTTAATTATAATAATATGAATAATAACAAAATAAAATTACATTTTTGAAAATCGTAAAATAACATCACTATATGTTGAGCCTACAAGAGCATCTACACAACCTACATCTTGTTTTACGTAATGTAAAGTATTTATAACAACCTCGTGACATTTTATAACTACATTTAAAGCAGTATAATGTGAACGGCATCTTGTTGTACTAACACTTTTAACAACATGCGATTTTGTAGTTTTGTTACGTTTTGTTGGCATTCTCAAAAAATTGTTGCTCTTTTTTCAGAACACCACAGAAATGTATATAAACTTCTAAGTATCCAACAAATCTATAGTATTTGTATCAACAAAAACTGCTTGTTTAGCAACTAAAGCATGTCAATGAGCATGACACCAATTAAATAATGCTTTTGGACTCTTTTTTTTCTAATGTGAGCTTGTAAGCCATTATAATGTCCACTCATATTACTTCCTCCACCATAGGATTGGCCAATAAGGTCTGTTTTCCAACAAATAAATAGATTCTCATGCAAATAATTTGTTAATTATTAACACTAAACAATAAGCAATGGATGCAAATAATTTTTTCAAGCTTAACTTAGTAAGATAGGGCAAACCCTACGACTTTTGGTATTGTCTGGTAGATAACATTCTAAAATTAAAAGTTTTTTTAAAGCTTCTTTTGTCATTAAATTTTTTGGAAACTTTTTTTTTGGTAAATTATCACTAACAGGTTGACAGGGACTAATTTTAAAATTAAATTTTTAATTTCTGGAGTTTAATGAGAAATTTGCAGAAAGTAAGCTGGGTCATTTTTAAAAGCCATATTATTACAACCAGTCAACAATTCAATCTCTGAAGATATCTATAGCCATAACCCATTAAGATACATGCTTTAATTTGTAATATGGTTAATTTTTTTTAAATAGTATAATATCATTTATTTAAATACATTTTTATAAATTAAATTCACACAATTTACATAATAGATTTTAAAGTAATTATATTGTAAAATGTAAATTAATATTTTTCCTAACTATGATTATTAATTTAAACACTTAAATTTTAAAAATTTCAAACTTGGTGAAATTAATAATTAGTCAATTTAAAAAATTAGTGTCTAACTGCTTAAAATTTAAAATTAATTTTAACTAGTACCTATATAACTTCTATAATGCCTTATTTTTAAGTAATTTTACATACAACTATTCAAGTCTAACTAGGTAGTTTATTGACAGTATATTAAAAAATTGAATAAAAGAAAAGTCATAGATATTATATAATACCTAGTTAAAAGTAATTTTAATTTTTAACCAGTTAGATACTACTTTTTTAAAATGATTATAATAATAATATTAATATATTATATATAATATTTGACATATAATAGTTAAAAGTATAAATTATATATTTTTAACTATTACACATTACTGCTTAGAGCTTACACATTTTCAAAGTTTTAAAAGTTTTTTAAAGTTTCAAAGTTTTATAAAAATTATTTCATTAATCCCATATTCAAATCAATTGTTGTACAGTTATAATACTTATAAATAAACTTATTATATTATTAATATACATTATGATTAAATAACCTTATAAGTAAAAATATGTTTTAATCATATGATTATTATTCACATTTAGCAAACATTAAAAGAATCAAACTGATATAAATAATTCCAATTTAATAATGGTTTTTTTTTTATAAATACATTTTTTTGAATTGTCAGTATAATAAGAAAGTTAGTGTCATTGATGATAGATATATTTTATTAATTTAATACAACTTTTTGTTTAAATCACTTTTTAAATAAAATATAAATTCGATATTTTTTTTTTTTTTTTCATAAAATAATGTTGTTTCAAAAATTAAGAATATTAAAATATAATTATAAAGATTTTTATGTTGATTTAAATAAAAATAAAAACAAAAAACTAGTTAACTGATTAATTTTTTTCTATTAATATGGTGTCTACTAGTAGATGGTAAAAACCTTGGATCTATTTGGGGGTCTGATATTAAGTAATGAAGGGAGAGATGATTGAAACATATGGTTCGAATTGTTACTGTTTTGATGAGGATATGTATTCGAATCTACTGAAGAATTATTTTACTGTGGTTTTTGTTATTGGAAACATGTTGATATAACATCAGAGAATATCGCCCTATTTCTTCTTGTGTCCGTGAAGCTCAATCATTTTTGATTCCCAATGACACATAATTTGAAAATTCAACAGTTTCAGAAGAATTTAAAAATTTTGAAATTTTAGACTTCATTTGATTAATTTTTGCATGATAAGTTCGATCTACAATACTTGTTTGAAAATTAAATATCTTGCCAATGGATGTATTCATATTATTTTTCTTGTTCACTCTAGATTTTGCCTTAAATATTTTTGAATCAACATTTTGGAAGCTCTTTGGATTATTGGATTTATTAGTTATATTTTTACACCGATCAACTTCACTGTTATTATCCGACAAATGCAATCCACTTTGAAATGCTGTACTCAAACATGTTAGTCTATCAGATGAATTAACAATTAGTTTGCTTTTCATTGATGGTTCAACTTCTCCCATTACCAGCCTAAATTTTTTCATTATATTAATTAATGCTTTAAAATAAAACAACATTTCTTCAGAAGGAGTTTCACATGAGTTAGTGGCTAATCTTATTTCATTACAAATAAACTGTGCTAAATTAAACTTTTCCAAGCCAAATGATGATAAGTTATCCTGGAAAAAAATAATTAAAAATTATGTTTTTTTATACCACAAATTATTAATAATTATAATATATATATTTTTATCTTTATTATCTACCAATATCAAAATTATGTAAATAGTATTTATAATATATTGATAAATATTAATGTGATTATTAAATAAAACTATAATTAAACTAATTAAATGTTTTTTTTACAACAATTAGTACAAGAGAAATAATAGTTAAGTGAACTATAGGATCTCATAAGCGGAAATTTTATGAAACTAGTGGGGGGAGGCGGCTGAACATTATTTGTTTATTATACTTATAGGTACTCTGTAGGTACACAATTATTTATTTCACAAGGTAATTTACAAAGTTTGACAATTTGACATATTCAACAATGTAACCAAAAAAACAATTAGATGCCTTATCTTAAACATTTTTGGAGTAGGTATTCTAAACAGAATTTAATAATTAATTAAGTTAAACAACCAATGCAGGTATTATTACATATTATTAATATTACATAAATTACGATCGTTCCAAGTCATGACAACAAGTTTGTAAAATCTTATGAATTAGATTTAATTATTATCACAGAATATTTTTTTTTAATTCAGTTATAAAAAATGCATTTTACAATTATAATAATTATTGTATTTTTAGTCACTTAACAATTTTAGGGCTAGGGAGGCTAAGCCCTGTATTTAAATTCCTGTGGGGGCTTAGTCCCCTCAAACCCTCACCCCCGATTTCCGCCTATGTAGGATCTATAAAATATTTCAAAATAAATATTAACTATAAATGATGAATTGGAATATTTATAAGTAAATATTAATGAGAAAGTTAATTGTGTAATATTAAATTGTTTAGTTGAAAAATACTTTTTAATATTTAAAACAAGATAAGCTTACGATCATTAAATCACAATCTAAAATTATTGGTTCTTCAAGTAACACCAGGAACTGTTCAACTCCAGATCTTAAATTATTTGCAAATAATATTGTATATGAACAAATCTGAGCCATAATTATCACTTTATCACGACCGTTTGATTTATTAAGCATAGCAATTAGATCGGGTAGAGGATCTTTACCATTTTTATGATTATTCATTAAAAAGCTTAATTTTTCAGCTATTTTAGATTTTTTATTTTTGACCGAAGGTTGAAATTGTTTAGAGGCAGTTTTTTTGAGTTCATACGTCTTGTTTGACTACAATTTAAAATGAAAATAAAAATAACAACAAATAAATTAATTATATAATTTTAAATTTAATCAAATTACTACTACTATTACTTACTACACGTTTATAATGTGTAATTGCCTTTTCAATAGAATTTAAAACCGCCACATCGTTTGGTGCCATTTGCATAGCTTTTGTTAGATACATTTTTCCTAAATCAAAATCACGAACCTTAATTGGAAGTGTCATTAATATTTTAGCACATCCGACAATCACTAGAGGATCTTTTGGCTCCATACTAATAACTGTTCTGAAAAAACATAAATAACAAAAATTAATATTTTTATGCTGATAATATGTGTTTACTTAAAAATATTTCTAACGCCCTTAATATGAGTCTAATGTAAATTTAAATAAATTTGAATGTGCAATTTTTAAATTATACCTACCAATACACATGCATAAATAATGGATTACTTAAGTTTCTGTCATAAAAAAAATTGGTAAATATTTGAGGTATACAAACAAATTGTAAATTATAATCTATAATAAATCACAGCAGATATTTCCTTTTAAATAGGATTAATAATATTAAAAACAAAAACATAAATAATCATAAATAAATCAGGATTAAAGTAATGAATTTTTTTATTTGACCTACTTGATCATATCAACAATTTTTTGGTTTGCCTGTAAATTTTTCTCGCTCATATCATTATTTTTTATGTTAATATTATCATGATAGTTTCTATTTGCGGTATCTTTATCTAATAATATTCTATGATAGTTGAAAACTGTATCCTTTCCATCAGATAACATAATTGCGTGTTGGATTGCATTTATTTCATTTTCTGTCGGATGAGATTTATATGAATGTAAAAATGTTCTTTGTTTAGTTAAAGCCACAGCATAAATGTAAAACCAATGTGGAGAACTTGGATCCAAGACACAAGCTTTATTTGCAGAATCACAAGCTTTTTTGTAATATTGTGTATTTGCACCATACTCAGTTAATACAGCAGCATGTATAGCAAATATAGAAGCTTTTGATATACAGTTCAGTTTTTTGAACGGTATAATATCATCTAATAACTGAAAAATAAATATATAACAGTAAATGAAATAGCCATTGGTATCATTTTAAAATCACTAACACTTAAAATATAGGTATAATAATCAAATATAAGATTCTAAAATATAAACCATGTACTTTAAGAATATTGACAGGATTTCTATTATGGAATAGGGTAATATTTCAAAATAATAATTATGATGGTCTTTTTTGGGTCATTTTTAATAAAAAAGATTAGTAAAGCATGCAATCTATAGACATATTATGGATAAGATATGTGACTTGCCATACATTTATAAAGAATATTTTGTTTTTATAATTTATAATTATATTTATTTCAAGTAAAAGTACACATAAAATAATTTTAATGGTCCTGAATACTATTTACATTCAAGATCGCATGTTTAAATTAATTTTTTCTAATTAATTATAACTTTATTTAAATTACAATAGTTTTTTTGTAAAAAAATAATTTTATAATTGTAAAATGAAATAATTAATAGTATGGCTAGGAAATAATTGAAGTACAAACCCTGAACTCCTATAACTTTTTAATTATTTTTGGGCTGCATAAAAAATATATTATAATACAATGGCTTGAACTATTAATCAACTCAATCAAAATCATAACAAATAAACTAAGTAATATATCTAATCAGTGGATAATTTAAATTATATTTTGGTGTTTTTAAATTTGTTAAAACCATTACTCAATACTTTAAAATATAACACCAACAAATAAGCTACAATCATCTAAATAATGAATAGTTAAAAAATATCTTACCCATTTACACTCTTCCAGAAGGTTTGAAGCATTTAACATGTGAATTAAAGTGCCCTTCATCACATAATAAAGGCCAGTTTTAATGGACAAATAAAACTTATCTGAGCCGTTATCTAATTCTTCTAGCCATTTACCAATTTCCAATATTTTAATTTGACCATTTTCGATTTCACCATTATGGAACAACTCATAACCAATAATCAAATTGCCTATAAACCTAAGAATATGTGACAAAAATATGAATTATTTCAACAAACAAATATAATTTCTTGAATATTTACCTTTTCATTGAAAATTCTGGTGAAGAAATATCCAAGTTATAATCACCATATTTATTTAATATTTGTGAGATAATATTTCTTTTATTCGATTTCAATTTCCACGTAAAAATACATTGCAGACTATTAATTTTTTGGACTATATCATTCGTTTGAATTTTATCTTCAACCGTACATTGTACGGTTTCTTCGTCGGAGTTTATTTCACTCTTTAATTCATCCAAATCGTTATCGTTTAAATCTTCAGGCAGATTGCCTGCAAAAGACATAAACTCAGAAGAATCAGCGATGCTCTCTTTGCACGAGGTCCGATTTAAACAATCAATTTCGTTCACTTCGGAGAGCATGTTCTCAACATCCTGTCTCAGGTTGATCACTTTCTTGTTATTTTGTGGTTCGTCATGATTTGGCGATCCACTTATGTTGTCCGATGTTCTCTTGAAGAGCGTTTTGATCAAGGAAGCAAACATCCTTGAGGTTCGATCGAGAACGTTCGCTGGCGGTCAGCGCGAAAAGATTACCACACCGAACGCGTGGTACGGCACGTAAACTTAAGGTTGCAGTTCCGATGAATAACGCGCGACACAAACCGACGGGATGTATGCGCATTCGGCGAACGGCACTCGGTCACAGGGACGGTTGATGTCTGAGGTGGGCAAATGAACGACCGAACAAAAGAACAAGATGGAGGATGGCACGCTCAACACAAAATGCTTACAATAAAATGTTTATCTGTAAAGGTGTGTTTACACCCGGGCGCTCTTTATTGCGTTAGACGCATGCGCTATGCGCACCCCTTGAGTTGAACGAAAATGCTTGCATAGCGCATGCCCTTTTCCCTTGAACGGTTACATTTTCGTGACGCATGCTTCGACGCAAGCCCTCCCGTGATCGACGGGAATCTGTTCAACACGCCATGTTTTTTTGTATTTTACCGATATGCTGATATATTTATTTTATATTTTGTGTGTATTTGTTTTAAATAAACATGACTGAAACCAAAGACCAAAATCAAACAACACGTTTCATTGACGATTACATGTAATATTAATATTACATTTTAATTAAATTAACTAATTAAATTTATTTATTAAGAATTACTTTTAATTAATGAATTGTTTTCATTAATTACATAATATTATTATTATTTTATATTACGTAAATCATTTCCAATACTAAGGGATGCAAACCATTAAGACTACACAAACAAAATTAACAGCAAATAGAATTTGGGTTTGTTTATTTCTGTTTTATTGTGTGTAAATTGATTAACAGATCGAAATATAATACAGTTCACTATATTTAATATTTTATAATACTAAAAACCACGATTATAGATATCAAGTTAGCCAACGAGTTATGTTACATACAAGTAGGGATGGCAAACAAGATATCGATATATCGATATTTTTCCTCCGATAATATCGGCACATCGATATTTTAGGTTAGGTTAGGGAAATTTTCGACAACCCTAAATACAAGGCGGAAGTCACCCATAGACTTAATATTAATGGACGCAGTAAGGGTGTAGTTTGTGTGGTCTTGTAACGCTGCGCTGCTCGACAGGACCCGGTGAACTACGTACATGCGCAGTAGAATTTCAGGTTGTGTGTGTTTATGGGTGTTTTTTAAAAATGTTTTTTATGATAATAACTGTCGACTGATTACAATTATATAATAAAACACCTGCAGTCAATACGCTAATATTACTTATAGGCATGCATTGACTTTAATGCAATAATTATTTACATTACGTTCACTTGTAAATTGTAAAATAAATTTGTATAATTTTATAAATATTTAAAAATAAAATATCAAAAAATTTATCACTGTTAACTTATTTTACTTTGGTTAGGTATAATATATTTATAATGGTTTTTTCTTTAAATTTCATTAGTTTAAATGCTGTCCTTAGAACCAAATACTTGTATAGAAAATTTATTTCCATAAATGTATTAATAATGTTCATTTATTTTTTGTATGCATATAAAAGTTTAATTTATTATGTAAATAATTTAAAAAATTCCTATTTAAAATATGCATTTATAGGAAAAAAAGTTGGAAATAATTTTGCATACCACAAAACAAAATTATTAACGAATCAGATATATTGTATTTACCTTCCGAACATATGTTTTGCAAATTTGAAATTTGCAAATGCATAGTCCCGAGCTCTAATAATTATGTTATAACATAATTATAATAAAATAAATAAATAAACATATTTTATGTCATCAGAAATGACAACACTGCTAAGAGGATTGCTGTGACCGCACCGCCCAACCCCGGCAACCATGGATGCTTCGTCTTTGAAGTCCATCACAGATTTGACTCGTTAAATCTGCTGGCATGGGCTCCAACCACGGTTTAATTTATACAGGTTAATTATTGCTAGTCCGTCACTCGGTCAGACTGCGTTACGGTTCAGTAGTTCATATTTTCACCACACGTGTAAAGCGCTAGTAGTAGGTAGGTTCATATATTACTGATTAACTTACATATGTGATATATTGCATTGTGTTATTATTGATATTATCCTTTGATTTGTATTATATAATGCAATTTAATAATTACTCTTATAAATTTAATAAAGGTAATAAATAGAGCCAGGATTTTTATGCATTTAAAAAGTGTCAAATATGATGCAAATATACAAAGAAAAAGTGCCTTAATATGCAATTATATGCAATTATATGTTACACTTTATAAAATGTGTTTTTATTTTTTAAGAAAAACCTCACTTATACTAAATAAAATTCTAAATATTTTATCAAAAACAAAAAAAATGATAACAACCACTGCACAACTAGCGCTCATAAGGTATAGCGAGTATTATTGATAAGGATGATATTGATTACGAAAAATTGCCGCTTTTTTTTTCAATTGAAGAATAAAAATTTATCTTTAATCAAATTGTATTGAATTATTTAAGGTTTATGTTTATTTGTAGTTCTACTCATATTTGTATATAATTATTTTGCTTTGTTTAAACACGTGTTTAATAGCACAGTAGAGTTTTTTCATAGATTAATATGTCTCATTACATATTTTCTTGTTCTAAAAGTAAAAATAGCAATTTTGGTGTACCAAAAGATGCTGATATTTTTAAGACTTGGCAGAAATCTTTAGGTATGCCACTTAAGCGAAGTTCTAGAGTTTGTGAAATTCACTTTGAACCTCAAGACATTGTAACAGAATGGATGTTAGGCCTGGGTCTTAGTATATATTCAGAGTGATTTATTTATTTCCTCTTAAATGTAATTAATAATTATACGCCGTAGGTTTTAAAAGTAAAATAATTTCCACAGATTCGTTCGAAAAGACCTAAATTAAAAGTAGGAGCTGTGCCAAAAATACCTTTTAGTAATTCTTTATAATTAGAATCTTATTTAAGTGACACATTCAAAAAAAAAAAAAATTATATATCTTGTTGGTTTTATTATATTTCAATATCACTATATTTATGATCATAATTATTGTGCTATAAAAAATAGGTATATTGGTAGTTAATTATAAAATATAAATTATCTGTTTATTAGAGCATAGGTTCCCAAAGTGTGCACCGTGGTGCCCTAGCGCGCCGCGATATATGTATAAGGGCGCCGCGCCATCATGAAATACTATCGAGTCTAAAATTTTCCTTATAATTAGTCATGCTATGACTTAGAGAAGGGCGTAAAAAAAAAAAAAACCTTGGATTAAAAAGGGCGCCTTGAGTCGAAAAAGTTTGGGAAGTACTGTATTAGAGTATAAAAACGATTTTGATTCTTTTGTTAAGCATGATCATAGTTATTTTTTAAAAGAACCAAAAAAAATTTGTATGTCATCATGTTCACCAATTAGCATCAGTTCCGAAATGTCTTCTTCAACTGAATGTTTACCTACTAATAACTCTACATTTACTTCTAACATTGTAACACTGTACAATTTAATATTTATGAAATTAATATTCAATGTTTATTAACTACTATTATAAAAATTTAGTCACTGTATACAAATGATATGCCTTCAAAATTGTTTCAATTTGTTTTGAATAACAATACTTTGATACATGTACCAGTTGGTTGATTCATAGATGTTAGCCAACACAACGATGATATTTATATTTGTTTCCATAAACAAATTAAATTTAATAATAATTTTGTTAGAGCTATAGAAAAACAACTTGTTTTAACCAAAGTTAATAATTTTAAATTCTTTAAAAATTACTTTTGTTTTAATGTTTATCCACTCCAGTATAGAGTAATAAAAAAATTTTAAAACAAAATTTTTTAAGAAAAATAATTTTACAGATTTAGTAATAATACTTCATGTAAATTAAAAAGCCATAGCAGTATCAGCTATTGGTATACAAAAGAATTATAAACCTAATAACATTAAAGATTTAGAAAATATTATTAAACTCTATAATCAAATCAAGATCTATCAAAAAATTGGTTGTACTGATGAAAATCTAAATGTTAAATCTACATTAGGGCCTCAGTTTATAGAATGACATGGAAAGTGGAGTCATACAAAATGTACAACTATACTGAGCAATGAGATGTATCTATTAATTTATTGAACATAATAATTATTAGCTAATAACATTGATTGTGAATTGAAATCAATGGTACTATACATATGTAAACAGAAGTATATTATAAAGTAAAAAATAAAGTAAATTATTTTGTTGTAGTGCATACCAATTATGTGTATGATGCACAAAATTATGGTATAACATGAAAAATAAGAACGTTCGCCAAAACAAAAAAGTATGTGTATAGTTCTGTGTATTTTATCATTTTTCAGATCTAATAATTACGATTTTTTAGGAGATAATAAAATATTACCACTTCCATGTATAAATTCCATAAGAAACCACTTATTGGCCGTAAAAATTGGATGTGGGTTTGATCTTAATTTGTTTAAACTTTTAAAAGGAAAGTTTTTATCTAAATCTAATTTTCATAAAAAAGGTATCCTAATTTTTGATGAAATTAGTTTGAGAGAGAGCCTAAGTGTTAATAGTAAAACTCTAACATACACGGGCCTTGAAGATTTTGGTGGAGATATACAACGTAAAGAAGGCAATGAACATAAAGCTAACCATGGATTTGTGTTCATGTGGCAAAGTTTAACAGAGAAGTTCACTCAATCCATAGCAGTATTTGCCTCCAATGGACCTATAAAAAGTAATAACATAATATGAATGTACTATCGATAATATCAACTTTAAGCAATTGAACTGTTTGTAGGTGTCCATCTTACTTAATTAATTATTAAAGTAATTGTATTGATGGAGAATAGTGGTAGACAAATAGTTGGAATAACAAGTGATGGAGAAGAACTAATCAAAATTTGTGGAGTCACTTGGGGGTAAATACGAGTATGTTTAAATTTTCAACTTTATACTACAATGTAAAAACTTTTTAAATTATCCCAACCTAAAAGTAATAATATTATAACCATATTATCTTAAGTATCAGCAAATAAGAATAATTTCAAATTTTTTTTTCTCAATCCTTACGATTCTTCAAGAAAAGTGTACGTATTTTCGGATGTGTCTCATTTAATTATAAAATTCGTAATCGATTATTTAAGAATAAAGATTTAAAGGTAAATAATAATTTAATAATTTTATTACTACCTCAAAAAAATAATAATAAAACCAATTTTTATTTAGCTGATAAACAGATTGGTCTATTAAAACCAGCTTGAAGTGGGAGCATTATAAAAGTGTATTTGATATTGAAAGTTATTCTCTACTATAAGTTTGTCCAGAGCTGATAAAGCATCACTTTGATGAATTGAATAACCTTTCCATGATGAAAGTCAAATATGCAGTTCAGGTACTTATATTTAATTGATAAATTAAAGTCAAATAGAATCTAGATAAAAATATATATAAAACTGAATATAACATACAAGTAAACTTTCATAAAATTAAAGAATTAATTATTTCTTTGATATATTTATGCTTAGATATTTAACAACTCAATGGCCGTAAGTATTGAATTCTATAGAAAAAAAAACTATAATTGTTTTATAGATTCTGAAGAAACGATAAAATTTACAAACATTATAAATTAATTATTTGATGCTCTTAATAGAAGATATTCTGCTGAAGGAATAACAAAAAAATAGTTGTGATTTAGAGATTTTTAAATGTTATATGTGTGTTTTTTTTTATCGTGTTAATGTTGTGTATTACATGTATCTAGTTTTTATGTTGTATTTTTAAAAATATGCTAGTTGCTCTACTAAATTTGATTTAAGACATCAATTATGTATACAAGCAATATATAGTATACATAATATATTTAATCAATATATAAGATTTAAAATTTTAAATATATTTTATATTATACATAAAATATATCAGGTATTGAGAGATGCTTTAAAATGGCTAGATAGGTGGACATTAAATTTAGAAAATGGCCTTATAAAAGAAAATTAATTTTTGAATCATCCAACTTTTGATGGGATTAAAATAACTATCAATTCAGCAATTTATTTGACTAATTACTTGTTAGTGTAAAATGTAAATTTTTATATGTTTTCACATCTAAATTTAATCAGGATTCATTAGAAGTAATATAATGTTTATGAATTTATGTTACGGCTACTTTGTTATCACCCAATCAGTACACCATATAAAATGTATCGCCCTTTCATAAATAAAAAAATATTTCAATGTAAAATATTATTTTATTTTATTCAAAAAATGTATTGGATTTTTAAATCTAAAAAAGTATATAAATGTTAGATAAAACAACAAACAAGTACCATGATATGATATACAATTTATTCTTTACATTTTTTTAGACATTTTTAGAATAATTAGACTATAAACGGATCCAACGATCATCCCACCAGTCCTACATTCCTTCAACTATATCGAATGTTGTCTATTTATTCTGTTGTTAGACCACCTAAAACAGGATATTGCACAGTGTTAGAAGGTTTGTGATTAATAATAAATTATAAACTTACCATTTAAATTATCTGATGATAACCAAAAACTATTTTAGATACAATAACTGTTCTTTCAATTAATGCTTTGATAGAAATTATTAAAGATCCACAAAATATATCTGAAGAACAAAAAAAATTCAAACATTAAAAAATAAAATTATAGAAGAAGAGTGCTAGGACTTGATTACCACGACTCTACCGTATTTGATTGTGTGGTTAATTCTTTAGCTGGGTAAGTTCTTTACATCTAAAGATAGTTAAATTGGAACCGGGTCAATATTGTTCAAATAAAATATATATGTACAATTCATTGAATCCAATGTACCTATTTACTTATTTAAAACAAAAATTAATTAATTAGTTACTTATTTTATAGATACGTATCCAGGCGGCTAATAATGAATATAAAATGCAAGATGTATATTTTAAATTTAAAAAATATTAATAACTTTGCAGTAGGTTTTCTGCTAACTTGGCAAATGATAAACCAGAGGATATCTCACTCATCCTGACAATCATCTGTATATTATTCTAATACATTTAGAAATGTGTTTTTCTAAACATGCAGATTCATCTGATGCATTTGAAGACACATGCAATGAATTTTTTAAAACCCGGGTAGGTTTGAAATTCATGTGCCTTAAACACCAAATTAAAATGTTGACCATAATTATTGTGTATTATATAACAATGTGGATGAGACAATATACTTACATGTTAAATCAGAAAACAAAAAACCAGTATAAAACCAAAAAAAAAATTGTCAAAATTAGTTAAAACTCAATTTAAAATCAGAAAATCACATAAAAAAATTATAAGTTGTTATGAATAAACTAATTACTAAATACTAACTATACTAAAAAGAAATGTTACCTTTAGGCTTCCACAATAAAACACAATAATACTAAAATTTATATTATATATTATATTATAACCTTTATTCCATGATATTGTATACGCGTCAATAGTTTATTCCATTGGGCCAGCGACGCGTTTACGTTTCAATAACATGTACGTTTGTATCTGCCATAATTTAATAGGTTTTATTTTATTTAATAATTTCTGAAATATGTAAAAGTTGTAGACATTAAGCTAATTAAATTAAATTTATTTGAGTTTTCGTTATTTTAAGATACGAATTATCGTTATTTCTGAAAAACTTTCTCCAAAACAATGTATATGAACGTAAATATATAAATATATTTCACATATTTGTACTGATATTTAATCGTTTACAAATTTAGAACTACTTTGTCACTAGTTAAATTTAATTTGTTTCTTTTCACATTATCTCAGCGTTGCCGATGATGTGGTAATTACCACATACGGTGATAATTTAATCCACTTGTGGTACATGGTGTAGTATAGTATAAAATGTGGTGTTGTGGTATTTTTGAAAAAAAAAAAGTTGGATTAGAGAATTATATTGCAATATTACACTGAAATTAGCAAATTTTTTTGTTAAATTACCATCTGTGGTTATATAAAATATTTACAGACTTCAGCTGTAAACTGTTCTGTGATAATATTCTAAATTATAATCATAACCATGATTACCATTACCAGTTATCAAGTTCACATCATTCGTCGTGTAATTACAACTAGGTACTATCCACCATAAATATATTAAATTTTTATATTATATTATCCAAGTTGTGATAGTTTTCTTTTTATTCAAAAAATATAGTTATAGTTAAATATATTAAATTATTATTTATTCTAATATATTGTTTGTTTATTCGTCTTACAATAACAATTATATTTCGTAATTTAAAATACATATTGTTATATCAAGTGAACAAAAGGTAAACATGTAAAAACTGTACAAGGTAGCGTAGGTAGTAATAATAAACTTATAAAAGTTCTATAAAAAAAAATATAAGTGTGGTAGTAATGTACAGTGGCGTATCTGGGAAAAAATCTAGGGGGGGCAATATAATATATTTATTATAACCAAAACCTTGACACCCCTCCCCCTCACCAGTTAAAACATATTTTATTGTATTTATTTTATACATTATATCTAATTGTTTGATTTTACATAAGTCTTTTAACTCATTTTATGGTTTAGATAAACATAAATTGTAAGTAGCAGGAACTAGGTACCAATATTGTTAAATAATACCCATAAGAGTTTATTAATAAAAGGTGCTATTTGTACTGTTGGATTATCTGGAGGGGGGGCGAAATTATACCATTATCTCTCAAAAAATTGTCAGAGGGGGCACTTGCCCCCCCCCTTCCCCTCACAATTACGCCACTGGTGATGTAGTATACGATATTAATACTCGCGAGCGAAGCGACGCGTTATATTTCTAAATTCTAATGTGGTAATTTTGTTATCATGAAATGCTAATATGACATTTTGAATTCGACAATACTGCGTTATCCACAGAACTATATTGGACACCTATATTCATATATTATTTATATATTGTGGCGACCCACAATATGGTCGTGATAACCGTGGTAACGCGTCAGCTGCGGGTCCCTCTCCTTTTACATTATATACCGTCGTCGGCCTCCAAAAGTTATACCTTTGTCCAACAGGTCTCACTCTCTCGCGACACATGTTTACGATAACCTATACTTTCTTTTCTGTATATTGCCTTTTGTTTTCATAAACGTTTTATTAATATTATTTAAAACCTGACAGTTTTAGTTTTTTTTTAATTATTGGAATCGATGATATCGAAACCAAATTGGTGACCTCGACGTGATTTGTTAGACCTTCTACATCTGTACAACGTTTTTATTTTTTATCTTTTTTACCTCCACGCGTTATGCAAGATTGGGAAGACGTTTGGTCGCTCGGCACCACCAACGCGAGTACCGACAATACGAACTCGAATACGAAAGCGAGTGCGAATTCGGACATCGCGGGTGCTAATACAAATGCCAGTGATTTGCCGTGTCCCCTCGCGCCTACCGCTCCGTCGGGGATAATGCCGTTAGACATTAACGCATTCGCATCCGTAAGACTACTCGGATTTTGGCGTCATTCACCACAGCAATGGTTTACACACGTGGAAGCAAGTTTTCATAACCAACGCATTAGGTCTAACTTGTCGTGTCGCGCGTTAACTATATGCTCGCCGCGCTTGGCGAAGACGACGTGCGCACTATCTGAGATTTACTCAGCTCCAACGTTCAATATTCTGCAGTTAAAAACCGTTTAGTTACCGCATATGACGTCCCACAAGCCACGCGATTCCGTTCGATCATTCAACACGAAGGCATGGGTGATCGACGCCCCTCAGATGTAGCGCGTTACCGAGTGGAATCGGCGAATCGACGCTAAAAGAGTTTTGGCTCCAGAAGCTACCGCCAACCATCATTGCTATCATCTCCGGACTCGACGGTTCGCTAGAGTCACTGGCCGAATGTGCTGGCCGAGTCGCGGACGCAAGCGCTGGTCATAACTTAGCTGCTGTGTCGCACGAACCCGACCGTCTGCACGCTATGGAAAACACGATTTCGGTACTCACCACACAGATTGCCGCGTTAGTTTCGGTACAGACCGCGCAAAGTCGACCTGCTCACACACAGGAAAGATCGCGTTTAAAATCTCGTAATCGTTCCAAATTCCGTACACACAATGACACGTGGTGTTTTTACCACAACGTCTACGGAGCTGAGACACGGAATTGCCGTGAACCGTGCGCATACAAGTCGGAAAACTGATGGAAGCGGCGAAAACCAGTCCATCTCCCCCCCGTGCATCACGCCTACAGACTGTCGGTCAACGATGTCCATTCCGGCAGACGCTTTCTCATCGATTCCGGTGCCGAAATCCGTTATACCCCTGGGCAGCGGCCCACGCTGCATATCAGACATAGTGTTGAGCGTCGCGAACGGCTCTCGTATTGCGACATAAGGGCCAAAAGTACTGCACCTCAATCTCTGTCTCTCAAGCGAATTCGTTTGGACTTTCGAGACAGCGGACGTCGCCCGACCGATAATCGGCGCAGATTTTTTACATCACTTTGGTCTTCTGGTCGACATGCGACGCAAACGCCTGATCGACGCCGTCACCGACAAGTTCGTGAAACTACCTCCGTCGTCGAAACCGTTGTAGATGTCGTTAAAGCCGTGCCTTTACCTCAAAAATAGACTGATATTTTAAAAAGTTTCTCTAGTGTTACACGTGAGTCACCGGTCCTTCGTTATTTTCACGTCCGCGCCGTCTACCTCCGGATCGACACCGCATTGCGTGTCAAGAATTCGAGTACATGTGTCAAAAAGGTATTTGCTAATCATCTGCCAGCGCTTGAGCTAGTCCACTACTGTGTACCAAAAAAGGACGGTATCTTCCGACCTTGTAGAGATTATCGACGACTAAATGAAGTAACGAGAACGGACAGTTATCTATAACCCCACCTCCATAATTTTACCGCAAATATAGCAGGGAATATGGTGTTTATTAAGCTTGACCTAATTCGAGCTTATCATCAAATACCGGTCGCCAAACCAGACATACCGAAGACGGCCGTAACGACACCGTTCGGTTTATTTGAATTTCCCGTAATGTGTTTCGGTTTGCGTAATGCCACCAGATTTTCCAGCGCTTAATCAACGACATGTTGCGCGGATTAAATTTTGCGTTCGCCTACATTGATGACATATTAATTGCGTCACGTAATCACGAGGAACATGAGCAGCATGTCCGCACGATCCTCGGACGTTGTCAAAGTTACGGTATCGCCATTAATCCTGTAAAGTGTATTTTCGCTGTAGACTCATTAATTTTTTTAGGCCACAACATCAACAAGAATTCGTGCCGACCGACGTCAGAACGCATCATGGCAATCAACGAATGACCACTATCAGCAACAAAAAAAAAGTTTGCTGAGATTTCTGGGTTCTCTAAACTTTTACCGATGTTTTATCCAAAACGCCGCGAAACTGCAAGCACCTTTTTTCGACCTTGTCACGCAGTTAAAAAAATGCGATGGACCGTTTTCGTGGACAGATGAGACGCGAAAAGCGTTCGATTTTTGTCGCGCCGCCCTGGAGGATACGGCAGAGCTGGCCCACCCGCTACCCGACGTACCACTCCGTTTAAGAACCGATGCTGTTAATACGGCCATAGGAGCAGTTCTCGAACAACTGTCCTACAAAGGCTGGCAACCACTGGGCTTCTATTTCGAAAAAAGGTACAGCACATATGATCGCGAACTGCTCGCCGCATACACTAGTACACGTCATTTTCTACACGCGATCGAGGGACGACTCACCACTCTGCTTACTGATCACAAACCGCTAATTTATATATTCATTTATAAAACTGAAAAAATTATCGACCGTCAGATACGGCACATCACATTTTTGTCACAGTACATAAACCGCATCGAATATCTGCAAGGCGACAAGAACATAGCCCCGGACGCGTTATCAAGGTTGGAAGTTTCGACAACGCAAGTCATGTTGCTTAGTCTTAAGCAATGATCTACCGACCAAGCCAACGACCACGAACTTCAAGACATCTTGTCTGGTACCGCTAAAAGTTCGCTCAGACTTGAGCCACGTAGCACCCCCGAAGGCACTATTTACCTAACCTCGACAAAACAGACGCGTATGTACTTACCGCTACAACACCGTCGCATCGTGTTCGACGGGCTACACGGCCAGGCCCACGGAGACTCCAGCGCTACGTCAGACCTAATTAAAACACGATACTGTTGGCCAGGTATGAATAGACGAATCAAGTACTGGACCAAATGCTGCATAAAATGCCAACGCACTAAGGTATTTAAACACACCGTTTCGCCTATAAAACCTTTCGCGCCTCCAGACCGCCGCTTTGGACACATACACGTCGATTTAGTTGGCCTATTGCCCCCATCTGACGGTTCCAAGTACTTGTTAACGTGCGTGGACCGATACACGCGCTGGCCGGAGGCATGGCTTATCGACAATATGTGAACATACACTGTCGCAACTACCCTAAGACGCTCTGGATTTCCCGTTTCGGCGTCCCCGACGTGGTAACGACAGACCAGGGGCGCCAGTTCAAGTACGAACTGTTCACCGCCCTCACGACGAAACTCGGCATCCAGCATCTTAGGACATCACCTTACCACCCCTAGGCCAATGGTATGGTAGAGAGGTTTCACAGGACTTTAAAGACTGCACTGACAACACAAGACCCCGTGAAATGGAGTTTACCACTCCCTATCGTGTTTCTGGCACTCCGGAACATGATCAAGCCGGATATAGGTCACTCACCCGCAGAGATGGTATACGGTATGTCACTTGGACTTCCAGACGAGATGTTCCCCCCCCCCCCCCCCCGAACCGAAGACAGCACCGGAACTCGTCAAGAACCTACGTGACGCGATGACACAACATCAGCCGACACCCGGATTGAATCACGCAATGAAAAGATCGATTTTCGTACCTCCAGACCTGAATAAAGTCACGCACGTCTTTCTCCGAGTCTACGCTGTGCAACCGCCTTTGCTATCACGATACGAAGGCCCCTATGCAGTACTGGAACGCAACGACAATAATTTCAAATTATAACGGCACAGTTTTGTTTTCTATCGACCGCCTGGAACCAGTTTTCGTACTCAGGGAGGATCCCATAGCCGCAGATTATACCTATTCAACACTTGCCGAAGTCGCTAAGCCCGAAAAACACGTACGTTTCTGTTTTTCTCTTCGTTCTTAGGGGGAGTAATGTGGCGATCCACAATATGGTCGTAATAACCGTGGTAACGCGTCAGTTACGCGTCCCCCTCCTTTCACATCATCATATACCGTCGTCGGCCTCCAAGAGTTATACCTCCGTCCGACATGTCTCTCTCTCTCTCTCTCCCGTGACACGTGTTTGCGATAACCTATACTTTCTTTCTGTATATTGTCTTTTGTTTTAATAAACGTTTTTTTAATATTATTTAAAACCTGACAATTTTAGTTTTTTTTTAATTATTGAAATCGATGATATCGAAACCAAAATATCATTGATTATATATTACTATAGATTGCTCACTGCAATAGAAATTGCGTAAAAAGTAATAGTAAAGTAAAAAATAAAAGTCCCAATTTAGAAAAATAATATTTAATTTTTGTTTGCTAACCGATTATTAATCATCCGATTTTCGAAGTATCCGATTATCAGTATTCAGTTCTGAAATATTATTTTTATCGTCGTGTAGCTGACCGCGGCCGTTTATTTATTATTATATTTATTCGTATCGTACGTACGTTTTTGATTTACATGAATTAAGTTAATACGCGCCAAATGTACGACGTGTGACGATTTGTGCGATTGGAGCGTGTGAACTTTTTGACGACCTCCTAGTTGAATTGCAGTTAAAATATACACATTTATCCCCAGACATAAAATAATAAATTTCAAACAGAAAATTGCAAAAATAATAAGACTCTAGAAAAATATCTGACGATAGTATATAGTATTGATTGTTCAATAGTTGTGTAGGTAATTTTTTAGATTTGTTGTGATTACTAATGAATTTTATATTTTTGTTAAAACTAGTTAAAATAGATTTATAAACATTTAGGCTAGGGTCACACGAGCGTTGGAAAAACGGACGTAATATGCTCTGGTCAAATGAACGTCGAACGTGTATTGACCGTAAATATAAAATTTTATAATTTCTATTACATATAATGATATCTCTCGAATATTATAGTTCGTCATTTTTGACAACAACATTTGCAACACTCATCCATTCAATATTTTTTTATTTCTATCCTTGTACAACACATAACTTACATCCTACAATAAGAGACGTTTTTCAATTTCGGTAATTAATAACTCTATATCCATTCTAAAAATGTTAATATTATAAGTTTTTTGTTTTTAAAATATTATTATTAAAAAATTATTAAATTATACAAAATCAAATTATTAAAATATGATAACGTAGCATTCAACGTCGACGAGAAAACAGCGGCCGTGTGACCAGTGATGTTTAAAATAATATTATACATCAACGGACGTTTAAACGCCCGTTGTTATGTCCGTTTTTCCAACGCTCATGTGACCCTAGCCTAAACGTCACCAAAAGTATTTATGAATATTTTCGGTGCACATTAGTTTGGCACCACTTGACGTCCTAACCTTTATTTATGATTTTTTTCTGTAATTTATATCAAGTACAAACGCAATATTATTATTTAACGCGATCGGTAACGTCCGTCATTACCTCAAAGTAGCGACTGATCCCCACTCCTGTGAACTACTCTAGCGATTTTGACGGCACCCGCCATTTAACGCGCAAAGTATTTCTTACTGCAGTGAGCAATATATAGTTATATATAATCAATGATATATATATAATATATAATTTGTTTATATATAAAAAAGTAAGAATAAAGTTGTTCATAAGAAATATTAAATATATTACATTATACATTAATATGGACTATGTATGATATGACTATAGCACGATTATAGTTATATGTTTACACCTTTATATTTATAAAACGTTTATAATAGTGGTTTATAGTAATTATCACGAATAAATCCGCATTAGCGCTATTAGAATATTTAATTTTCATCAAATACTTTTTTTTAAATTTGAATACGTGATAGTTTTAATTTTTTTTTTTATTATAGAATATAATACCGTTTTTATTTTATTATTATTTGTTTAAAAATAAACAATAATAAAATAAAAATTAACAATTAAGGACTAACATTCTGGAGATAGTTCCTTAATTGTTCTAATCATTTGGGTCTTTACTTGTTGATCCAATACAAAATCGTCATAAGGCCAATCTTTATGACATTTTTTACACCTTTTAATTAGTTTAACCACTATATTACAAAGTGATAACGGACGAATAATGACGATAACAATAAACTAAAAGATTTATCAATTATTATCAATACCAAATTGCAGTATTCCACTTAGTTTTACGGTTTCCATTTTTAAAATTAATCTGCAGTGGTATAATGATATTTAAAAAAATTTAACAAATTTAAACATTTAACAATCAAATATTCAAATAGACCAAGTCATGTTCCTCTGGAGAGAAAATAATAAATGAAAATATTTTGAATGATATGAAATAAAAATGTACAATAATTAAAAATAGCCCGATAAAAAATTATGTAAAAATAAATACAGAATTATTAATGCTATGTATTGTTGTCTAGAATTAAGTAAAGTTCACAATTATTATTTTTAGCAATATAACGAATTAATATAAATAAACTGAAAACTCCAGTTATCGACGTTAAACAATTGCATAACAATTGAATCGAAATAATTTTCGAATGTTGTAGTGATAAAAATAGCATCTATTGTTGAAGACGATCCGATAAAGCATGATGGTCTAAGAAACGACCAACACTAGGTCCATTTCCCCAGCCCCGCCATATTGGAATTTTGAAATTTTTTTTTTTTGCATTCGATTGTGCTACGTTAGTGCCGTTTGTTCTACTTGGTCCCGCATTTGTGCTGACTTCCTAACCCTGGAAAATCAAATTCTAAGTTTGGCGGGGCTGAAGAAATGTTAGTCCCGCCATATTGGAATTTCGAAAAAAAAAAGAAAAAAAATAGTTGATTTTTGATACACAAATCAAATTAGTTGTTTAGTAAGAATCACTAAAAAATGAAGTTTCCTAATTAAATGAATAGCAAACCTCATTATAGTTTAGTATAGTGTTAATACCTATTATTATTATTATTATTGTATTATTTCCCCATTTTCATGTCCTGATATCAATTGCTTATTTAATTTATTATAGTAATTTCTAATTAAATATAGCTTTCTATACCTATATAATACAAAAAAAAAAAAAACTGAAATGCATAATTAGCTAAATCTTCTAATACTTGGTGGTGTCTATTTTTTTTTTTAATGATAATGAATTATTATCATCCAACATAGCCGAGAAGAAAAGCTATCCGCATTAGTAATTTTATGATTAAGTATAAAAGCTGATGTTACTACAGTATTAAGCTATAACGATGTTATTCAAGGATTTGCTCAAGACCATACATGACAAATAATATAAGAGTATTTTTATAAATTTTTTGTTGAAATATATTTTTATTGTCTGCAAAAAACATTTACCATTAATGTATATTTCTTGAGTGAGTAACATAGAATAATAATCGAAAAAAAAACAATAGTAATTTAATACTAATTTTAGGGCTTCCATAAAATAGTAATAGTAAATAAAAATAAAAATAATGATAATTTCTTTCATATATTAATATTATAAGTAATATATAGTAAATTTATATATTATTATGCATTGCATTTAAATAGTATAAATAATCATTTCTGCATTAACAACTATAGTGCCTTTACATTTTTGTGGGATATCGTTATAATCATCATACAATTCCCATTTGTTTAATCCTTCTCGATAACAATATGAAGTAAAATGACCAATACTATTCACAGTTATATGTGTTGGTTTTAATAAATGTACGACCCCACGAAGCTTGTAAATTTGACGTTTAATTGTCATAAAAGCTGGAATATCTTTTAATTTTATTTGTATTCCTGAAACATAAGCATTTTGGTCTTGAATTAGCTCAACATTTTGGATGTCGGTGACAGGAATTTTTTCAAAGTCTATGTTGGGCGTGGTCATTATTAAAATGTGTTCTCCGTACCTGTAACACGTAAATCAAATTACATTAGTAATTATTTATAGTAAAACACTAATTCTAAAACAAGTATCAGATAATATTCTATATACCTATTCTATTTAAATATTCCCTATCAAATTGTCAAATTATCTCGTATAATATTGTGATTTATTATCGTGATTTTTTATGGATATGAAATGTCTTAGTGTTTTACTTATTTATAAACTCCCGAAAGCTTAGAGTATCAAAGACGAGATACATTCTTTTTTTTTATTTAGAACTTCCAGTAAAAACTATGATAGTTCGATGATTACAATATTAAATTTATACAATTAATGTATATGATAATATAAGATGAGATATTATGTATAAATATAATATATAGATAGAGAAATAAAAGTATAGTTAAATGTACACTGAATATAAAAAAAAAATAAAAAAAATATAAGTATTTTTTATAAGCAGAATGAGGTCAAGGATATTGTAGTCCTCTAGAATAAATTAAGACTTCTTTGAAAATGTATATTTTTTTGTATTAACTATCTTTAGATGAATAACTATATTACTACCCATGTATATTAGATATTTTGCCTTCCTACAGCATAAGTATATGTACGCCTAAATTATCATAATAATTTATTAAATAAATGTGAAGTACTCGACTTGAATACTTTATACTAGAAGTAAATTCAATAATTTTTAAATGGCTGTAGTTAACTATATTATTTCATAAGAAAAAAAATTATTACTTGTATGGATTAACCAAACGACGATTACATTGGTAACATTTGTTCACATTTCCGTCAGTCATCAACAGCACGTTTAGATTCTGAATATCATTTACATTTATTAGAATTGGCTGCTGGTTAATTTGCTGACGTGGACAACTGATACAATTCTGGGTGACCACACGAGATGGCCAAGTTTCTAATAAATTTCTCGCCATGACTTCAATGGTGGTGTCAGCTTGTATGCAGATCAACTGCTCTGGAAGTTCTTTCAGGCTACATATTTCCTTCAATATTATTGACCGTTTTCGGTATGTCTGTACATTAATTCCATCTTTAATAGCTTTGATTATAAGCTTAAAAATAAGATAATCATTATTGGAATTCACAAACTGGGCATATATTGGAAGAAATGTAAAATTTACCATCAATCTGGATACTTTTGAGATTTGAGCGGTTTCCATTTTTAAGGATTCCAATTACAGGAGATTTTGTTTTGCTGGAATCATTATATAACAATATTGTTGGATCTTTTTGTAAATAATTTGATCTCTTTTTATTTTTTTCTGTCTCTCTTCTCTAGTTTTCTTCTGCGTTTAGTTCAATTCTCGTTTGATTGAAAGACTTGTTCTTACATTGGTGACAAATCCGTTTCTCATCAAATCCTTCTTCTTCCCCAAGTATATTATAAGAACATCCGTCTATTATGTGCACAGCTTTCTTGCATAAGTCACATCTATGTGCACCGGTTGGTTTATGACCGTTAATACAAACCACACAAATATTTTCATTTCTAGTACTCAATTTTTGTATTGGCTGGTCTTTTTTATGGTGTAAATATTGAGTTGACTTAGATTTTCTTCACTTTGAATAAGTAAATTTTTGTCAACATTGTTTGTACGTACATTTTCTTGTATTTCCATTTGTAAGATTTCATCAACATTTTCGTCACCAATATTTCCTTCATTATTAATATTTGATCCAATTAAGTTCATTGTACCTGTAAAGGAGTTGATGTGGGTTGTTAAAAATCGATCAATTCTTAATGGAAGTGTCGTATGTTTAAAAACCCTATTCTTTAAGTCATTGAATTGACTTTCAGATGATGCACTTGTTTGTGTAATATTTCCAAAACCAAAAAAAAGGAACCATTATAGCTGTCCAACATGGCAAAAGTTTACAAAATTGCAACAATCTTTTAGCAATTTTAATATTGTGTTGATGATTATCTCGATCTCCGTGATCATGTTTTTTGGATAAATTAACACAATTATTATATATAACTTTAATATTTTTGAAGTATTCGGGATCAGAACTTAAAATACTTATACCTGAATCTGCTTCACTCTCGTTTATTTCCAAATTTTCAGCATTATTTTGGTAATTTGGTGTATCTTCAATTGACGCAATTTTTATTTTTAATTCATTTTTATACCGTTCACATAAGTTCATTTCTCCGGTAATTTCATTTATCCCTTCTGTTTCAAATAAAGCGACAATAAAAATGGATTTAAGTAAATACTTTATTGTTTCAAAATCATTTGACTGAATAACGAGAGCAATTGATCGTAGATAAAAATTTTTAATTCTATATGAAGATGTCTTAAATTCTGGCCATGAGCTTAATGACTTCATTATATGGTTAAAATCGTTCCTGATCATAGTTGTCGGAAGTGGATACTTAGTATCACCGATAATCCAAGATGAACAAACATCTAAATACATATTAAGCGAACTATACTGTGTAAATGATTTCACTGAGGCTGACATTAATGCCAATGATTGATCCATAACTACAATTTTTGGACATGGTGCACCATCTTTAACCCATTCTTGTAACCAATGTGATATACTATTAGTATCATGACGCTCGGATAACATATGAGCAACTCCATATTGTTTTTTGATAGTATGATCCATAACAACAACTTCGTACAAATAAATGTTTGCCGTTTTTCTACCAGAAATAAGTACAGGACGCTGAACTACTCCTCCGGTTGCATCAATACTAATAACTGAGTTAATATTTTGTTTGATATATTGCCTGTAAACATTTAATTCATTACCAGACCAATAATGAATGAAAAAACGGTCATATCCTATATCACGTATAGTGGAGTTTAAATTATTTGTTTGCTTTAAAATAGAAATCGAAATTATTGGATCTTTGTGGAGATTTTATTTTTGTAATGCTTTAGATCACGAGTTCTCAACCTGGGAGGCGCGCCCCCCTAGGGAGGCGTGACAAAATTTCAGGGGGGGCGTGAAAATGTTGAAAAAGAATACGAAAAATGAAAACGTTGCCGTTTTCTACGCCGTGTATTGCCGGTGTGTTGATCGCCGCCGGGGTCGATGAATAGGCATACACCGAGCGATTATTATGATTTTATAAGATTATACAAATCATATATTTATGCTCTTTAGTATTCTGGATATTAATAGAAGCATTGTTTCGGCGAAAAACCGACACTCGACGCGATAAGAACAAGTTTTGGTGACCCGCAAAAAATATTACGATTTCACATCAATCTTATACCAGTGAAGAGGGGGGGGAGGGGCCATGAACTCATAAAATATTTTGAAAGGGGGCGTGGACCTCAAAAGGTTGAGAACCCATGCTTTAGATTTTAATATTCTAAGAGAATTTAATGTTGGTAGATGACTGGGTTCTTTTTCTCCAAAATGCATAATTTCTTTTGCTTCCATTCTTTGTATGTAGCTAGCAGACATATTTTCTTTTAACAATTTATTTTTCAGCTCGTCTCGTCTACTCCCAATAAGTCTTCTTTTATTTTTTCCTTTGCATTCTTTATACATTCCTTGATAATCACATGAAATTATAATAAGTTCATTTTCACCCGGTTGGTTTTTAATTTTTCCAGTGAACCTACTATTACAAGAAGTGCAACTCCCAACAATTTTTAGATAAGTATTTCCTCCAGGATGTACATTAGCTCTTTTGTATGATATTGCACACGGAACGCCACAATATGCATAATAACTTTTTTGATTTATTTTTGAACATTTGTTATTCTGGTAGTTGTATTTCGTTAGTTTAGGTCCAATCTCTTTCCATTCATCTATAAATAAAACTATATTAAAATTCTTGATTTCTTCACATTCATTGATTTCGATTTAAGACTCTTCGGATGATATGTTCTCAATCGTTAGCTCTGGTTCTTTTGCTAATACTTGTTGTACATTGTATCTATTATTGTTGACAATAGTATATAAATGTTTTGGTGTTAAAACGTTATTTAATGTGTTGGCTATTTTTGTCCAACTTGAATCACTTGGTATAGGTATACCACCTTGAAAAAAATATTTATTGTCTTCAATAGCTTTAATGATATCCGCAGGTAATACTGAAGGAGATCGAGGCATGGTTATGTCCTAAGAAAATGTGTTAATTTTTATTAATTTATATAAACAACACTAAATCAAGAAACAAAAAAGTGAGAAAGTAAAAAGCCTAGTGAATAAAAAATCTAAAATAAAATTTTAATTGATTAAAAACATTTAAAATTATAAAAATAGACATATTGAATAAAAAATACTAGCTGAAAAAAAGTGATAGTTCACATAAATAAAGCTTATTTGAATATTAACAAAATTTCTCAGGTCTGGTTCTGTTTTATTGGTGGTCTCGTATATTTATACGGTTTTTATACACATTTTTCTTTCAGTCATTTATAATCTTTATAAATTTGAGTAATGAATAATAATTTAATAATATAAATAATGTGTTCTTTACATTGCAATTGTTATAACTTAATTTTTTTTTCTCCAAATTTGAGCAAATTGACAGTCGTTGATTCTTTATTATCAATAATCATAATGTACACCAATTCACATCTCATATGGTAAACACAAAACGCAACACTGAAGAGCTAAATGACTAAATTAAACTGTTATTAATTTATATCATATACAAGTATATTATAAATACAAGTAAAATACATACTATCGGATATTTCTAAAGAAAATAAAAATAATTTCTATATTCATCCCATGCCATTATTATCTAACATACATATAATTAAAATAGAAATAGTATGTTTACAGTATGCCTTTGTATAAATATTAATAATACAATTATGAATATAATAAGAGGTTTTAAGCATACAGAATTCTTCTAAAAATAATTAATACTAATTATTACGAGTATAACACTTTGCTAATCAATAAAAGTGATGAAATGGACGTACAAATTCATACAAATTACGTACTAATTTTAAACATGAAAAAAATCTCACATTTCTAGGTGGGGTGGGATGGACATGGCAAACTACTATATTATATAGTTATATAGACACTATTGGTATTATAGGTACACTGGATTTCCGCGAATCAACCAAATGTAAACAGCTGCCATGTGTTAACCGTTAATAATATAGATTATAATGTGATTGAGTGTTTATTTACCCATGAGATTATATTACTTTAATTATTTATATTTTTATAGTTTCCATAACATGCTACACAACGTTATTAATCGGACTCACACATTTCGCCGCCGGACTATTCGCCGAAACTTATACTTCTTTATACCCTAAGTGTATAAATATTACCATAGAATAGAATATTATTATATTATTAATAATATTAATAATATTTATCTCAAATTATGACATTTATATAGGTAGTTTGTACCAAGTACCATAGTCCAAAAATTTGATTTTATATTATAATGATTATTATCTGTGAATCATAGTTAACAAGGGTACAGATTTCATAATATGGAAAAGTATTGTAATGCGCACAATAATATAATTAATATGACCAAAAAACCTTAAAATATACTCTACCTTAAAAACATAAAAAGAAAATAAAAATAAATAAAAATTTAATTAAATTTCTTGTCTTTAATTGAAAGTTTTTTTTTTATATTTTTGATTAGTATCTACCAGTGGCGGATTTAAAATTTCAAATGAAATCGTCAAATCCAAAAATAGAAAATGGTACATTAAAAATAACGTGATGCAACGAAACTGATAATAAAATCATTGTTCATATACTCGTATATTGTGTATATTGTTCATAATCGGAAATTATATATTATATATTATATATTATAATTCTATAATCAATGAAAATAGAATTTCTAACTTTATTTATATTCGATCTTTTCTACTTTGTTCAGTAATATAATGTTCTATTTTTGAAGTATTCGGAGTATTCCTGAATATTTCCCGTATATTTAATTTTGTTATAAACAAAAATGGTAATTATAAACGATATGACAGTTTGTACTATAATTTTTTTTTTTAGGTAAAATTTAAAAAAATTAACTTTAATTTTTTTGGGCCTCAGTAAACATTTTAGGAAGGGGCCCTGTCGGCATTCACCAACTAAACGACCGTTAAATCCATCAGTGGTATCTACAATAATAATTTTATGAATATTTATTAAAAAAAAATATATATCTTCTATTAACAATATAAAAAAATCGGGACAAAAAACAAAAAAGTGGGAATTTTTCTTATAATACATAAATAAATACTATTTTTCAGTCAGTATAAATAATATTTATGATACATTTTACATAAAGCATTATATTATTATGTTTATTGGCAAATAATAGCACCAAAACTTCGAAATTGATACATAAAATCTAAAATACTTTAAATATACAAAAAATAACATAATTATTAATTATTATTATTGTTAATGATTATATTACAATATTACGCAAATATATTATAAATATATATATTATGTTATAATCAATTCATTATCAATTTTACACATCTATTATATAAAAATAAGTCCGGTTTTCCTCCCTGACGCTATAACTCCAGAACGCACGAACCGATTTCCACGGTTTTGCATTCGTTGGAAAGGTCTTGGGCTCCGTGAGGTTTATAGCAAAGAAAATTCTGGAAAATTCAGGAAAAATTCAACAGAAAAGTGGGGAAATCGTTTTTCACATACAGCGCCATCTATTATACATAGCATGTACTTCAAACCAATAGCAACGGTGCGTGATAAAGTGTGTATCGTATGTACACTGTTCATCCTAGAAACGATGAATGTTTTTATTTGCGACTGCTGTTAGTAAATGTACGTGGACCGAAATCATTTGCGCATTTGAAAACTGTGAATGGCCACCAATGCCAAACATATCGAGAAGCATGTCAACTATTGGGTTTGCTGGAGAACGATTCTCATTGGGATTTAACACTTGCAGATTCAGTTGTTTCATCAAATGCGTACCAAATACGAACGCTGTTCGCAATTATCATCACCACATGTTTTCCTTCACAACCAATTCAGTTATGGAACAAATACAAAGACGCCATATGTGAAGATATCTTGCATCGCTTGCGTATTCAAACGAATAATCCTGACATCCAAATAACCGATGAAATCTACAATGAAGGATTGATTCTGATTGAGGATACTGATTGAAGTAGGAATGATTGCGCCAAATCGATCGATGCACGATGCATTCAACCAAGAATTAAATCGAGAGCTGCAATACAATGTTGATACATTGCAGGAATTCGTTAGAAATAATGTTCCGTTGCTGAATGAACAGCAAAAACAAGTATACAAAACATTAATGCAAGCGGTGGACAATAATACTGGTGGTCTATTCTTCCTGGATGCACCTGGAGGAACAGGGAAAACATTTGTCATTTCATTGATTTTGGCCACTATTCGATCAAGATGTGACATAGCTTTGGCGTTAGCATCATCTGGAATTGCGGCGACTCTTCTAGATGGCGGTCGTACTGCACATTCTGCGCTTAAGTTGCCACTCAATTTAAACACAATTGATACTCCAACGTGCAATATTTCCCGATCCAGTGCAATGGGAAAATTGTTAATGCAATGCAAGCTCATTGTTTGGGATGAGTGCACAATGGCACATAAGAAATCACTTGAAGCACTTAACTTCACACTGAAGGATCTTCGGAGAAATAACAACATCTTTGGCGGCTTGAGATATTGTTGGCAGGCGATTTCAGGCAGACGTTGCCAGTAGTTCCCCGTGGAACGCCTGCAGATGAATTGAATGCTTGCCTAAAGGCATCACCTTTATGGAATAACGTAAAAACATTATCGCTAACCACTAATATGAGAGTTCAACTTCAAAATGATCAAAGTGCTGCACAATTTTCCAAACAATTGTTAGATCTTGGAAATGGAAAAGTCCCAGTTGATGCGACATCTGGATTAATTACTCTTACCAACGACTTTTGCCGATTTGTAGACACTCAATTAGTTCTTATTGAAAATGTTTTCCCAAACATTAGTGAGAATTATAAGAATTATGCTTGGTTAAGTCAACGAGCAATTCTTGCAGCAAAGAATAATGATGTCCACGCACTGAATTTCACCATTCAATCAAAAATTGCTGGCGATTTGGTGACATACAAATCCGTTGATTCAATAACAAATCCCGATGATGTAGTAAATTATCCAACGGAGTTTTTGAACTCTCTGGAGATACCAGGATTTCCACCACATAACTTGCAACTGAAAGTTGGTACAGTTATTTTGATACTGCGTAATTTGAATCCACCGCGACTTTGCAACGGTACTCGACTTTCGGTAAAGAGACTTATGCCGAATTTAATTGAGGCAACCATTATTAACGGAAAGTACGCAGGTGAAAATGTATGTATTCCTCGAATACCAATGATTCCGACTGATCTTCCGTTTGACTTCAAACGATTGCAATTCCCAGTTCGCCTTGCGTTCGCAATGACAATTAATAAGTCGCAAGGCCAATCGCTTAGTGTTTGCGGGATAAATTTGGAAAATCATTGTTTTTCACATGGACAGTTATACGTTGCGTGTTCACGAGTTGGGAAACCATCCGCTTTGTTTGTGTTAACGTCAGACCAAAAAACAAAAAATGTGGTTTACCAAAGAGCACTACAATGAAACAATTAAATAACACTTCATTTTAGTAGGTAATTGAAATGAATTTATTACTGTTGTGAAATGAAATAAATATTTTCCTTTTCAAATATATAACAAAAAAAATTTTTTTTCTTTATCTTTTAATCACCAAACGAAATGTTACATAAAACGAATCTGGTGGCGAAACGGAGTTCGCCGGGTCTGCTAGTTTCTAATAAAAAATTAATTCAAATGAATTCGGATAGTTTAGTTAATTCACGATTTTGGATTTTATCACGGAAACAGCAGAAACACTAGATTTCATCAAAATATAATTTTCTAACGCATATAACATTTTTTTTGCTTTGTTCCGGTAAACATTTTTGGTTCGCTGGAAAGAGTAACTTCTCTAGTACATTATATTACATTTTTAAATCTTACATTAGTATACATATTGGAATGTTAACTACTAAGAATAGGCAGATTTCGTGATTTTTATTAACATTTCAAATTCAAACGCTTATTTTTAACTGTGGATTTTTGATATTTTTTCATACGAGTATAAACAGTGTGTGAAAAACATTGTATCGAAATTTCAAAATTTTATGACCAACCAATATTTTTTTATTTACGTTTTACGAAAAAAAATAGAATAGCGGAGAAACGATCGCGGCAAATGTATGGTGGCGAAACGGTCGCGGCTATATGGATGGCGGCGGATAGTCCGTCGGTGAATTGGTCGCGGCGAAATATACTAGACTTAATGTATTATGTTCATTATTACGTTCTCATATTTTATTTACTTATTATTTATTATTTATTTATTAATAATAATTAAAAGACGGTGACCTTTAAATGCAATATATATTACATATGAAGTTTAACTAAAGAATGAAGTGACTGCACCACCGATAACCGATTGTGGGGGAACAGCATGCGCGATCACGACCAGTTTTCGTCCGCCGCCTGGTGTACTCTTAAATTGAATAGAGTATAGTCATAACATAAATATTAAATATAATACCTGCATTTCGAACGATTATAAGTTAATTAGAACTATTAACTAGGGACAGTGGCGTAGCCAAGGGGGGGGGCTAAGGGGGCTATAGCCCCCCCTCATGGGCCGTGTTTATATGTATAATGTATCTTGATTAATAGAATCAATGGATGCTCGTTTTAATCAAAGGCTTATTGATGTTATGCCACTTGAAGGACTTATTACGGCCAATTTAAATATGTATGACGATAAAAATATTATAGCTGCTAAAATATATGTCCAAGATCTCCATGATGATACTTCATCTACAATCAGAGCTGACCTGTTCATATGGAGGCAACAATGGAGTTAAAATACTATTCCAAAACCGAATTCTGCTCTTGATTCACTCTCTCATCGCACCAATCTTCGACCTAACATTAAAATACTTTTACAATTATTCGCCACGTTACCAGTTACCTCTTTCACTCCGGAAAGAACGTTTTCAGCACTTAATCGCTTAAAAATTTTTTTAAGAAGCAATATATCGGAAAACAGACTGAATGGGTTAGCTATGGCTTATATTAATAAAAAAAGAGCAATCGATGAAAATGAAATAATCACTGAATTTGCCAGAAATTCGCCTAAGAGGATGCAGCTGTCAGAGTGGAGCAACAGACTGAACACTAAAACCAAAATTATTATTATTATTATTATTATAAATTATATATTAATAAATATTTTTAAAACTATACTAAAATGCTTGAATTAAGTTTAGAAACTTGGTGGTAGATGGTGGGGGGGTTAAGGGTGAATTCTCATATCCTCTCTTATCTTACTTATCCAAAAAAGTGGGTAGCCCCCCCCCCATTTAAAAATCCTGGCTACGCCACTGACTAGGGAAATGAAATAATAATGTATTGTAATAATTACAATTATTTTAAAATATAAAATATATCGTGATAAGTAAATTTATGTTAGCACAAACCAAATAGAATTAGTTGTTTTCAACTATTCAGCCAACCAAGTTCAATTTTTCTTGTTAGTGATTATTTTTTTGAAATTTTAAATGAACAAAGACTGGCGTTTGAGTAAAAAAGCACGTCTCAGGCTGTTGTGCACCACGGAAGATATCTAATTTGACCAATTTGAAACGTTTAAAGGGATTGTCTAATGTACGCACGCGGCGTAGTACACAGGCGAATCACGTGCCACTCACAGTGGGATCGCACCTTCACTTTTACCAGTAGCGAAGCATCATAGGAGACAATGACACAATGTCTACACACTTTTAATACGGATACATAATTTGGTTTTATTATATTTTATTTATTTTTATATAATATATACTTCAATATTTATCATAGTTTTACTTTGTGTCGTACCGTATTAGTATTCTTAAAATATATTAGTTGCGAACTATGTACGCGAGCTGTCGTCCGTTGAGGCGTACTGGTTAATTCTATAAACATCCAAAAACAGATATAAAAATTAATATTATGAGACGACGCGTTAAGGTACTCATACACGGTCAGTTATGAATGTCAATTTTTATGATTGTCACTCTTATGAATGACATACATGGCCAATCATGGTTAGAACATGGTTAGAACATGGTCAATCATGAATGACAATCGTTTAATAATTCTTCACTTTTAGGTTAAAGATAAAAACAAGGGTCACCATCTAAATCTATCGTAGCCTATGCCCTATATAGTAATTGTACATCCAAATTTAAATATTCCTGAAAAATGGAAGAAGCTTGCATTGCAATTATTGTTGCTTTGGCTACAGATAATGCAGACGAAGGAAGAAAACGAAAGAAAAAACAAAGAATATGGTCAAAAGAATGGTTTTTAAAAAGAAACAAATACACACATCATAACCTAGTAGATGAACTTTTATTGACATCAAATGAAGATTATACAAATTTATAATCATCACTTTTTATTTTCCAAACTGCAGGTAGTTCGCGATATAGGTTTATAAATTCACGCCAGAATTCTATGTTTTTAGTAATAACCATAATTATCCTAGGTACATACAAAAAAAAAAAATTAAAAAATATTATAACTTTATATTAATACTTAAAATAACAATATGTTTAGTTAAAATATACTCACTTTATTAATGAATAATGATTTTGAAAGTGAAAAGTATTGCACGTATAAGCACGTGGTTCAACTATGATAATGTTTTTGTTATTGTTTTGAATGATAACGAGTATAAATCATTACCACACATGGTCAGTCATGATTGTCAATCACTCTGATTGACAACAAAAAATCAAACTTGTTTGAAATTCATGAGTCACAAAAAAAGATTGACATTTAACAATATACACGGTCAATCACGAGTGACAATCACAAAAACTGACATTCATAACTGACCGTGTATGGGTACCTTTAGGCTAGGGTTGCCATACGTCCCGGTTTGGCCGGGACAGTACCGGTTTTGAGTATGACGTCCCGGTGTCCCGATAATGTGTTTCGGGACAACATATTGTCCCGGAATGAGACTTTAATTAATTATAAGTGTCTTTTATTAGACATTTGATGAAAAAAAGTATTAAGTAAGATCTCAGATAATTATGAACAAATATAAAACTATAAAAGGTATAGTTATAAAATAACAAGTTGAATAATTGACAAAATCTATTTTTAAATTATTTTCCCGACTCTGTGACGCACGTTCGTCGTATTTCAGTTGCGTCGACCGTCACGATAATAAGGTATGTCCACACTAGTGCGTTTTCGTTTTCACCTTTCGATTCCACTTGCGTTTCAACTTGCTCTTCGTCATTCGATAAGCGCATGCGATTGTTGAGTGCTTTAAATGCATGCTTCTTTCTGTCCACATCTGTGTCTACGCCAGCAGTCGTTTTTCACCGTGCGGTATAGTTAAAACTAAAAGTATGTCAGATTCAAATTTACTTTTAGGTATTTCTGCAGCGTACTATATTATCGCGAATGCGAAAAAAAAACGTGAGAAAAAGCGTTCCAAATGGATAAAAAATTATTTTAAAACAAGAAACTTCAGTATTATTAACGATTTGCAATTGGACGAAGACTTCCTGTTTGGAAACTTTACGCGAATGTTCAAAACAAATTTTTTTTCGTTATTAAAAATGATCGAGCCCGAAATTGTAAAACAGAATACCAAATTTAGAGAGGCAGTACCGCCTAACATAAAATTGTTAATAACACTTCGGTATTTAGCTACTGGTGATTCATTTTCATATCTTATGTACCTATTTAGAGTTTCCACACACTCAATATAAACGAAAAAATCAAAATGATATAAATCAAAATACTGAAATAAAAAAATAATTACAAAAGTCGCAATCAAATCGCACGAAAAATCCACTGGGCTTGGAAACACGTGCTTTGTCGCATGCTGAACAAAACTTTTCTCCGTTCAACTCGATAGACGCATGCGTTATTAAATGCGCTTCGTTCGTCATCGCATGCTCTACGACGCATGCGCTTATCGCAAGCAAAAACGCACTAGTGTGGACGTACCTTAATGTTGACCATAGTCTGTGTTTGCCGTACGGTATTTCGTGAAAACAGTGCGATATGGCCCCAAAACGTCTATGTAAATTTAACAAAACATTTCAAAGTGAATTTAATTTTATTAAAAAAGTTAAAGCAGATAACGACTATAACGTTTATTGTACAATTTGTTCAAGTTCGTTTTCGGTTAGCCATGGTGGGCGATCTGACATAAATGATCATCTCAAAACAAAAAAACATAGAACATGCAAACATGCTACCAATAGCTCGGTACGTACATTTTTACTCCATTAAAAGCAGACGAAAATGCGTCAAAACTTGCGTCTAAAGAAGTTACATTTGTTTATCATACAATTGTCAAAGTTTCAACTCTATGACTTGTACTTCTGAATTAATCAGAAAAATGTTTGATGAAAAAAAATTTACTGCTGCCCGTACAAAAACTAGAGATATTGCAGTAAACGTTATTGCACCGTATGCTGTAGAGTTAATGAAAACCGAATTAGAAAAAGCTAAATTTGTTTCAATTTTTGTAGACGCATCAAATCATA